AAAAAAAAAAAAAAAATTACTTGGCCTGATTGGTAGGAACTGAACAGGTTCCAGGTTCAAAGTCCTCAAAATGGTAATAAGAAGCTTAGTTTACAAAGAGATTGAAGACACCACCAGGACGCTCAAAATATCCATCCACCCTACCAGACAGATTCAAAGTTTAGAAAATATTCTCTGAAAGTCGGCCCCCATCCCTGATGTAAGCCTGATGGAACCAGTCAACAGGTCAAACTACTGAAGTGGACAGCCTCACCACCGCTCTTTCATTCCCATCGGAACGGATAGCAATGCTGTCTGAACCCTACGCAGGCTTTCCCACCATCTGACAGTAGGATGTTCCCATGAAACCTTCCAGAGGCCGAAATGGTTAAAAAGTAGATACACCCGCTTTCCTAATGTTTGCAATGACGCTTCTTCACTTTTACGAAAGGCCCAAGTTAGTACCTGTTTCTGCAATCTGAAAGAAATCTGAAGATTTTTGCTTTCAAAGGAAGAAAGCCATTAATGAGTAGGGTCTCTCGTCAAAGCCGAGGGCTGTGAACGCAAACTTTGGGAAGGCAGGGCCTGCCTGTACTTTGGCAGTAGTTCCTAGAGAATGGACTATTTCATCCTAACCCCTTGTGGCCTTGAGTTTGCTTCTCATCTGGGAGCCAGGTAAACAGGTAACTGTTTAAAAGGAAGTTTGTTCACTGACCACCACAAAGACAACTGGACTTTTCTTGACTGCAAAGTGCACGCCCAGAAGGTTAATATGTTCACAGAAGTAAATCAAGTTCTTTCATTGTGCTCACAGTAGATCTGAGCATACCTAAAGAATACCCCAAAACATCAGCACTAAAGGGATGGAAGGTGCTAGACTCACCTACTTACCTGCCTTACACCTTCCCTAAGAAAAGTCATCCGTGGCTTGCTAGCACCACAGCTGAGGCACGGGGTGAGGCGGAGGAAGGAAAAAGGGCAATCAACATGGAGAACCCCAAAGATTTCCTGCCCTGTTCCTTCAGTTTCATTCTTAAATCGTGACAGCAACCTTCTATAGTATTTGATCTCCTCATCTCTAAAATGGGGAGAGTTACGGGATTCACCTACTCACAGGGTGATTGTGAAGAAATACGCATCAAGGAACCTGTACATTAAAAAGCTAGATACATATTATTTCGGTTGTACATCTGGCATCTAATGAATTAAGTAGCTCCGATGAGTTGGTTTCAGAATCCATACGTGACTAAATGACATCTTTCCTAGGGCAAAATGCACTTTAAAGTCCAAAGGACCTTCAACCAGCTTAAACATTTTCAACCAGCTTTTAAGGCATGCCAGACACCATAAACACACATCACTGCAAGAGATCATCTAAGTTGGGAGCTGTAGGTGCTCTGAGATGCCTCTGGCCACGTTTGGCCTGAGTCATTAATAGTGATAAATGTATATAGTACTCCAGTTTCCCCAAAGGATATATTTCATTATTGCCGTAATAATGAGTAGGGTGAGCGGCATTCATAATGAGGGTTCTGGGCATGATCCTGAAAAAGCTGACGGAGGTAGAGCGTTAACAGTAAAAATATTCCTCACACTTAAAAGTTCTTACTTTCTTGAAAAAGAAAGCTATAGTGGAGTGCAACCTTCAAAATAAGATTTCAGGATTTGATAAGCAGAAGAGGTGAACCAAGACGCTGGTTGCTCAGTGCCCTGGCTGAGCGTGCCTCCACTGGCCTGGCGCTCCGACAGGCACGTGCTCCCGCGGTACACAAAGCAGACACCTCCCGGGAAGCTGTGCTACCTCTGATTTTCACACTGTGTTTTCAAGCAGTTTTTGGCCTCAGATTTGGAATAGCAGGCCTCTGAGGTCAAGATTTTTCATGTTCAATATTAGATCTCCCAGCACAGTTGAAGCTTCTACCTTCCCTCCCCAATCCCCCCTTTTCAAAACCCTTTAGTCCCCAATGAAAGGGACTAAAGAATTCTGGAAATGTGGCTGAACATGACTTGTGAGCCAGCACTGAAAGCTGGGAGTGTGGACATCACCTTGCTTGGTCTTTTGTTTTGTTTTGTTTTGTTTTGTTATTGTTGTTGGATCTTAGTTGCTCAGTGAATTAAGTACTGGAAGATTCGAATAAATGGCCCACTTAAGACTTCTGTATCTCACGGCAGTGGAGAGGTATCAGTCTGATAATGCTCTGTGGCTAAAATACTCCTCATGCCATAGAATAAAACTCCCTATAACTCAACCATTCTCCTTCACAGACCTTCCTCATGCATCAGAAAACAACGTAATCAATTGAGGTGTACAGAAAATACAGTTTAAAAACAGGTATAGTAAGTAAGTTTTGACATAACTTCTAACCAAAGGATATTAAATACGAAAGGGGCAAAATTAGGAATTGCTCTGTAGATTATCTAGCCGCGGGAAATTTATGGGCGGTCTGCATATTCCAGTAGAGAAAATCTCCCTCATAGTAGTGGACAGACACATCCCTAAATGTGAGAAGGCTGTCTCCTCAGAGAGATCTTACCTCCTACCAGGACAAAGCATTTAACCTTAAGTATGTTATTAAAGAAATGAAAATAAAGCCTATGTCAAGAAATAATCCCATTCATAAGTTCTATATTCTGCATTTCAAATTTAGAGATAAAACAATACATTCTATGGCAAGACTGGTTCAACGATTTCGTGAATATATGTGTTTATCTGCCCCCAAGCCAAAAACCTTCCTTTCACTATTATGTAGTGGGAGAGTTTTGAGTTAGAACCCATTAAGCTATTCTCAATATCTTCTTAGCAATGATCTCTAGAGCACCACAGCCTTCCCTCTGTGAAGGTGCAGGGGCCAAGCGGGCACTGTGCAAGGTTGAAAGCTGGTGTTCAAAGCATTGGTCAGGTAGTGTCTATATGGTTAAGAAACAGTCGAACATAAGGTACAGGCAAAATAAACCACACTTTCCATAAGCAATGGTCTTGAACATCTACCATCAACTACAAACCTTCAATGTGCCTCTCCTGCACCCACTATTAGAAACTCAAGAGGAAAAAAAAGAGCAGAAGACAGAAATAGAAAGAAAAGGATATACACATTTGATTTGATTTGGGACTTAAAAAATATTTAGCAGCAGTCGTATTTTAGAAAAGTCATTAATAGGTAGACCAGTGGTTTTCACACTGAGTGCCATGGCCCCCTGAGGTCAGTTAGGGCTCCTGGAGGGACAGGCAGAGGAGATGTGGGGCTCCTGGCCTCACACCCTCTTCCGTCAGAGCACCGTCTCTGTGGTTTGTTTAGACATTAGACTTCCACACACGTGTTAACTTGGAAAAAAAGGTTACATGGCAAAAATCATCATCATCATCATAATCAAGAACTGGCCCTTTAAGGAATAATAAAAGTCTAATATGGGACAGACAGATTAACGATTCCCAATTTGGATTTGGGAATGCTCCGTCCCCAAATTATCCAGAGTAAAGTGAAATCATAACAGAACTACATTTAATTCTTAATAATTAAAATAATATATGAAGCATATAATCGTATCTGGGTACTTGTTAAAATTCTAAAATATATTGTAGAATCTTGGGAATCACAACTCATGAGAAATGTCAACCTCTCAGTAGTATTTCTGCATCTCAGAGTCACCAATCTGGAGTAGAATTTAGAAGAATTGGGTCCCCAGTTGCCCTTTGAGGAGAAGGAAGAGTTAAGGAGAAAAAAAAGGAAGTTGCACAGACGCTCTTTGGCTTTCTTATCCCCTGAACCACTTTAGTGCTCTCGACGTGCCAGTCAGGCATTACATGCTCTCTGCTGTTAACCCTTTGCTGAATTACCAGCTATAATCAGAGTGCCTAAATGGGTTGTGTCAATTCTGTAGGAGGAGACATAAAAGTGTGGGCACACGTTTTGATCTAATGGAGCAAGGGCCCCTCATCTTCCTGTGAGAGACACAAGATTCCATTTCTCTGTGGATCTGAAATGTATGAGCAAAGCGGGGAAAGGGGGCGCACAGTCAGGACTGCAGTGGCAGCAAGCATCTGGATGCCCCAAGGGGTTGAGATCTGTCGTTCCCACTAGAGGGACCCCTGTCTTTGAGTCAATTAATTTATACCCAACCCCCAACTGACTACTGACCACTCATTCTACCCAAAAAGTTATTATTTTTGAGGACCTAAAAAAAAAAAAAAAAAAACCACAAACTTCTTTTACCAGCATGGGGGCAATATACGCATAGAAGAAAAATACTGGAAAATGTTGGTCCTAGTTAGATTGGCCTGATGCAAGTTTGAGGGAGGGAGCCAACCCACCAGTCCAGATTGGTGATCTCTACAGCTGCAGAAACATTTGTTTCAATTCCTGAAAAAGAAGTCAGAAACAGGTTGTTAACAATACAGCTCACACAACCCTTAACCCGCATTCACAGAATTAAAACTGTGAAATCAAAAAACGTTTCAAGTTATTTGCATAAAGCCCCAGGCCCTGGTAGGTGTATGTGTGTGTGTGCCCGTGTGCAGAGATGCCTCTCCCTACCGTGGGGAGTTGAATCCACTGTCCACAGTGATGCTGCTGCTGTCCATGCTGTCGAGGCGTGCCGAATGCGTGGCTCTCTGGTTGCTGCTGCTGTCGGTTTCTTTTGGGGCAAGGAGGGTGAGGTTCTTCTCAAATTTCCTCTGTAAGTCTCTTTCCTTCTCCCTCTCAAGGAGCCACTGCATGGTGCCTACATCATCTCTGTTTTTTTCCTCCTCTGTGTTTTTGTTTGCCCCTTCCTCAGAGTCGTCGTCATCAGAGACATTGTAATAGTCAAAAGAGGCTTCCTGGTTCCCCCCAGACTCCTGCTGACGCTGGGAACCAGGAATGGCTGGTGCCACCGAGGTCCCCAGGGACGGCTCCAGTTTCTCGCATCGGCCTGGCAGTGTGTCGGCAGGTGTCTTCGGGAGAGATTTGAGGAGGGACAGGCTCGATTTGTGATAGCTGTTTACAGACAAGGTGCTGTGAAGAGGTTTGAACAGTGTGTCTTTGCTGAATATCTCTTTCCTCTTGTCCAGGCTGCTGGGCTCGGCGCTGTGGTGCTGGACGAGGCGTCCATTGGCGATCCCTTCTGCCACTGCGCCCGAAACAGCTGGGCCCCCACCTGGCCCTTTTGGTGACTCCTCCTTGTGCCCCACAGGCTCCCTGGAAGAATGTGGGGCCTGCCTATCAGACAGAGGCAGCTTTTTCACCCCTTCCGCCAGAGTCAGAGTGTCATGATCCTCTTTATTCTTTCCCAGAGGTGATGGTGCCGTGAGGACCGTCTCACTGGAGGTGTTGCACTGGAAATAGTCATCTGTAGCTGTTTTTGTTGGACAAGAGTTGAGTTCCCCATAGGATGGCAAACTCTCAGGTGGTTTTCCTGGCTCCAAGAGGCTACAAGCACTGGAAGGCTCCTTGCTGCCACTGACTATTTCTGGAATACACACCTCTTTATAGCTCGTGGATGACACATGAGCCCTTTGATGGCCAATTGCTTGTGCGGGCCTTAACGTACTGTCGTCAATGTAGGACTGGCTGGGGGTTTGGTCATCTTGGCTACAGCCTTCAGCCAGGTCTTCAGGGGTCCCTAGAGAAGAAGCACCCAGAGGGCCCTTTGAGTTATCCATCGATCTGGATCTCTCCTTGGCTTTGTTGGATCTCTCATTCCTGGACCTTCGGTCCTGGGTATGGCTGTGGCTTCGGTGCACTTTTGAGTGGGAGCTTCCCCTGGAAGGTTCAGGAAAAGGCATCTCAGTTCTCCTTTTGGCCAATTCCCCAGACACATCCCATTCTGGTGTCATGGGGAAATGAGACTCAATCACGTTCGTGTTACTATGCATGATGAAGTTATCTCCTTTGTGTTCAATGATGAAGCAGCCCTCCCTGGGTGCCCTGGTAAGAGGATCACAAAAGTCATACTCTCTGTCACCTGGGATATCCAGATGAGAACCGTCTGAAGGGTCTCCTTTAGACACTCGTGTCTTGCTGTGGGACCGAGACTTCCCGTGGGACTTTCGATGAGTCCTACTCTTTTTACTTCTTCCACTGTGATGGGCAGAGGACCCAGCTTTACTCCGATGTGCTTTCTCTTCTTCAAGTTTCTTCATCAGTGCAGTGTGTCTCATGACATTTTCCACGGTCAAGTCCGGGTTAATACGCCTAATGATTTCCATTTCCACCTCCCTAGGGATAGTGGTTGGCGTGTCTTCATCTCGCAGGGGCCACTCCTCGGGAGGAAACTGGGCAGAAAAATTGGCTAGCTGTTTGGTCTTATCTTTTTTAAAACTTAGCCGGAATAACTTGAGCCCAAATTTTTTGGACTGCTTTTCACTATCTTTCGGTTTTGAGAGAGTTTCTGTCTTATACGAAAAGTTGACAGTACTTTTGCTCTTGTCAGTGGGTGGCACCTGGCAGAGTGAAGGAGGGCAATAGGGGTCTTTGCAGTCCTTGGCAGGTTTCCTCTGCAGAGTCGAGGCGTGCATGCTATGCACGTCTTCTCGGCAGCAGTGGCAAGAGTCGCAGTGGTTTCTGGGCAATGTTCTTTCCCTGACGCAGCCTGAGGCAGAGGGCGTTATGGTTCCGGGTTGCGGAGAGGTACACTGAGACCTGTCAGGTATCCTCTCATCCAAATGGTACCATTTACTGTTAGTTCTTATGAGAGAAGGAGTAATGAAGTAAGTCTGCGGGGTCACGATGAAATAGCCATCCGGAGTTGGGTAGATCTTCCTCTCCCGCACCAGTGTGTTGAGCGTGTGCCGTAGAATCTCTTGGCTTGGGGTGGGAACACCTAAAACCAAAGGAACACACTCATGAGAATGTAGAGGGAACTTGTCGTTGGTTCCCAATTTTTCAGGATCTGCTATGGACTGAACGTTTGTATCCCCCCAAACACTCACATGTGCAAATCCTAATCTCTGGTGCAAGGATGGGGCCCTCGAGATGTGCCCTCGTAAGAAGAGGAAGAGACAAGCCACCCCCCCTCCCTCTGCCATGCGAGGATATGGCCGGTTTCACGCCAGGAAGAGGGCCCTCACCAGACACCAAATCTGCAGGTGCCTTGATCTCAGAACTCCCAGATTCCAGGATCGTGAGAAATAAATGTTTGGTGCTTAAGCCACCAGTCTATGGGAATTTTTTACAGCAGCCCAAACTAAGACAAAATCGTATGAATTTTGCCAAGCTTCAACGTATCATCCACATGGCAAGCCAGCAGGATTCAAAGGCGTTCGGGAAGAGAGACAGAAGTTAGGGGCAGTGAGATTGCTACGGTTGTCACAAGGTCTTTCCTGAACTGAGCCATGAAAAGGCAGAGTATTTTTAAAGGATGGAAAAATGAAAAATGTTTTACATGATATAATATACGTTTACAGAAAAGCCTTTCTCACTACAAAAAAAAAAAAAAAAAAAAAAAAAACTAAGGAAACTGGGTTGAAATAGCTATCTTGATCATCAAAAACCAATAGAACATATACAGAGGCCACCATACACACTTGAAGCTACTCCATACACTCACTTTTCAAGATTAAGCTTACTTAATAAACTTAACTTTGTAAGTTACATAAAGGGGCAATCAGACTCGACCATTGTTCAAGATGTACCCTCCAGGTCTGAAATCATTACCTTCAGTTTTGAAAGTGACTACGTTACTGATGAAGTTTGGGTGACAATGTTCTCCTTCTTGGACTAAGTCAGCAGGATGGAGGTAGTTTTTCTAACTCGTAACCAGAGAGCCCTAATAAATACATTTGTGAAAACTTAGAAGCTTCTCCATCTGTCTGGTCACTGAGCCCGAAAATGCCATAGTCCTTAGAATAGAAATTCCAGAAGAAAATGACAAGACTTCCTGGTACCGTGGCCGATACTGTGTTCAAAGGGTTCTGTGTGCATGTCTATGCCTTGTCTTTCTTAAGAGACAGAATTACAAGTATAAATTCTTAACAGAGAGTAAACTCTCCGGGTTAGAGGACATTTACTTATTTCTTGGATATTGTCCATTCCTCAGTGCCAGGCACACTGAGGGCGACAGTCCTGACTAGTTTGATCTGGATGATATAATTTGGAAATAGGTCAGGTTGAATCATACTGCCAGCATTCAACCGTGTCTGACCCACAAAAATGTAATTTCATGGGATTCAGCCTGACACAGTTAAGGTAGTGTGACGTGGAAACTGAAAGCCTGGAGCCCAGGGCCACACTGCTGGATTCAAACCCCAGCTCCATCACTGTTACCTGGTGGCAGTGGCTGCATTATGCAGAACCCCACCCACCACACCATTCCTCCATTCAGACCTAATCCCCTAAACCTAAGCATGTGACCTGGTTTGGAGACAGAGGTCTTTGCAGAGGTAAACAAGTCAAAATGAGGTCATCAGGGTAGACTCTACTCCAACACGACCAATGTTCTTCTAAAAAGGGGTAAGTGGGCACAGAGACGTGCACAGAGAGAAGACCATGTGAAGAAACACTGGTAGAAATGTCCATCCACCTGCCAAGGAGAGAGGTCTGGCAGTTTCTGAACTCACAGACCTCTGAAGGAACCAACCAACTCTGCTGATACCTTGATTTTGCGCTTTTCTGAACTGTAAGAAAATACATTTCTGTTGTTTAAGCCACCTGTACTTGGTTAGGGTTATGCTAGAAAATGAGTGTTGCTGGTTATCACCTTAGGTAACTTACCTAACCTCTCTGAGCCTCTGTCCATGGTCATCGGGATGTGGATAATAACCCCATGTACCCTCGTAGGGTAGTTGTGAGTTTAAATGAGCTTAAGGCAGGGGTGCCTGGGGTGGCTTGGTCAGTTAAACGTCCGACTCTTGGCTTCGGCTCAGGTCATGATCTCCCAGTTTGTGGGCTCCAGCCCTGCGTCGGGCTCTGTGCTAACAGTGCAGAGCCTGCTTGGGACTCTGTATCTCCCTCTCTCTCTCTGCCCCTCTGCCACTCACTATCTCTTTCAAAATAAGTAAATGAATAAACTTAAAATTTCTAAAAATGAGCTTAAGATATGTAAAGCAGTGCCTGACATATACTGGGGGCTGCATGAACATGAACCATATAGTCTCAACTTTGGGGCAGGATCCATGGAAACCCAGATTACCTCCTAAGAACATTCTGTAGCAACCTAAAACAGGTAAACTAAGTTTAGGCTCCCCCAATCCTTCCAAAACTACAAAAGTGGGATATGAAAGCATTAGTAATGGCCTGGGAGAGAGTCGATGAATGCGATGTAACATACACGTCTGTCTGAGTTACCATATTCAGAAGGCATCCGTAGTGGCGAGGTGGGAAAGGCAACATTGCTTATGAATAATGTATTGTTTAGTATAATTATTTAATGTTTGAGCTGCATAGTTTCCCTTCAGTCTAGGGCTCTGCTCTTGAGAGAGGTACTCTGGTTTTTATGCAAATGGCTTCAAGGCTGGTATAATAACAATTTTTAAAATTTTTATGACAATTTCTGCACAAAATGAACTTCATATGAATTAGCGATAGAACCCAAACCATATATATGAAATTCTTGAGTGCCGTCATAAAATAAAAAAATGCTTGCATATAAGAGAAGCAACTTAAAAGAGCTTCTACACCCCACTAACAACCAGGGCCTCCTGCTGGACAAGTCTGGGGGCACCGTTCACACTGACACAGACTAAAACTCTCCAGATGAGACCGTATTCACACCCTGGGCACAAATGATGCCCACTTGGTCTGTGGGGCATAGCAATCCGGATATCAAACCCGTACTGAAATCTGTGTCTTACATGGTAGCTTGCTTGCAGTCAACACTGGAACAGAAACAAGTTTTTCCAGAACACGGCAAGCCTCGTTTATACGAGTTCATGACTGCCCAGGTTACTATGCTGTCATTATAAAGGAAAGCTGAGGCGTAATCCGGAAGAACAGCTGTTACTACAAACCAAAACTGTGACGGTATTACAGAACGAAGTCTTCGTGTCTTGGATCCTCACGTATATCGGTCAAGGGATGTCTAATTTGAAAACACAAGCTGGAAACATGCCCTGTCCAATCAACCTTCCACACTTCTACCTGTGAGTCTTCAAGGCTTTAACTGAAAGTCGCTGATATTTATGATGCTTATTTTATTATGAAGCCCCAGTATAATGACTGCGCTTTCAGTTGTCTGTGAAATCCAGACTTCCATGAGAGGTCTGCAGGGCTCCCCTGGGACAGAGATGGCCGTGATGGGTACTTTTCGAAGTTTGCGCATTCAACCACTTCCAGATTCTGTTCCCAAAGTTCATCATGAGCTTGGATTTTGAGGGCTTAAAGAACAAAAAGATAAACTCTGTATCCAAATAAGGCTGACACCCGACTTCTCTCCTTTTCCACACTTTTACATCTTCCAAAGCAAAAACAGAGATCTAATAACACTGCATGACAACGCGAGGTTACTTAGACTTACATATCCCTTTAATGCCACAAATCTGAAAATCGTTGGAATGGAGCGCTTATGTATACCTTCTGTATGTTAAGCATTTTAGATGGAAACTTTCAATGGGCTTCTCTGGATTATTTCTTCTCATTTGTGAAGAACACTGGCTGAGGGAGAATTTAGCAAGAACCAATGTAAGGGGATGAGATGGGAGACAGAATATTATATACGTACATACATACATCTGTTAATATTCTCTAGCAAATTCACAAGCAAACTTCAACCCCATTAGCAGCCTATAGGTCTCTTTCTCTGAGAGTCAGCTTTCCTCCCAGGAAGATCCAATCATGAACAACCCAACAAGTACTAGTTCAATTTAAGTGATCCTTCTGGATGGGTGGGTGATGAGTCCTTACTTAGCTGAGAAGCAAGTATTTATTCTTTTTATACCTTAAGAAAAATTCTTGTTTCTATAATGGAAATTCCAAAATTCAACCAATATAGAAAGGTGATAAAAGGGTTTACATTTCAGTATGTCAGGCATTTTTACTAGGAGACTTTTCACTAAAAAGTTTCTTTAGAATATGGGTGTCTAGGGGCACCTGGGTGGCTCAGTTGGTTGCGTGTCCGATCTCAGCTCAGGTTATGATCTCGCGGTTCGTGGGTTTGAGCCCTGGTGTTGGGGCTCTGTGCTGACAGCTTAGAGCTTAGAGCCTGCTTTGGATTCTGTGTCTCCCTCTCTTTCTCTGCCCCTCCCCTGCTCATGCTCTGTCTCTCTGTCTCTCAAAAATAAACACTAAAAAAAAAAAAAAAAAAAAAAAAAAAAAAAAAAAAAAAAAAGAATATGGATGACCAAAACAGTAATGGAGGCCCAAATCTAGACTATTCTTTTTACGTATAACATATGCATTAAATATGAGAGTTCAAATGTTTTAATGACATTAAGTTAAATATTAAGTTAAATAAACTCAAAACTTTATTTTCAGGCAGTAAGCTATACAAACGTAAACAGTCATGGGGCGCCTGGGTGGCTCAGTCGATTGTGCGTCTGACTTCAGCACAGGTCATGATCTCACGGCTTGGGAGTTCGAGCCCCGCATCACGCTCTGGGCTCACAGCTTGGAGCCTGGAACCTGCTTCAGATTCCGTGTCTCCCTCTCGCTCTCTGCCCCTCCCCCACTCACCTCTGCCTTTCTCTCTCTCAAAAATAAATAAACATCAAAAAATAAAATAAAATATGGAACTATTGCTGAACAAAGTTTTAAATCATTACTACCACGCCCTAAACCAGTGGTCAGCAAACTTTTTCTCTAAAGAGGTAGAATGTAATTGTATTACTTTGTGAGGCCTCTGATCTCCCAGCTGCAACCACTCAATTCTGTAACTGCCGCATAAGCAGCTAAAGACAATACATAAACAAATAGTCAAGGCTGTGTTCTAACAAAGTTCCAAATAAAACTTTATTTACAAGCGTAAGTGGTGGGCCACACTTAGCTTGCACCCATGGTTTGCCAACCCCTGCCCCAGACTCAGATCTGTACAGCGCCCCTGCAATGTGGGGTTGACCCGTTAGTCATCAGTGTCACAAAGCTGAAAAAGGTGAAGTTCGCTCCCCTCGGCCCATCTGATGACAAGGCATTGAGATCTAAATTCACATGCCATATAAGCTAGCAAAGCAGTCGTTCTTTTAAGTACAGGTGACCTATGGATTTCTCTACAAAAGTATTCCAACTTAGTGATATTGTAATCAACTGCTTGGCAATTTAGTACTTTATTTTGCTGTTTTTCACAATTTACTCTTACATACCGGCTCTGTGTTCTTTCCATTCTCTATTTCATAGCCCAGTCATGGGAGAGATGTAACCAGTTTTGGAAAAGCTAGGTGATCTCCCACGAAGCTACATAAAAATAGATTTCAAAAGCTGTGGGGAAGTTTGATGTCAGAAGAGGCCAACCAGGTACAAGGCCACCAAGAAGGGTCTTTCTTCACAAGAGCATTACATCTGTGAACCACATCTGTCCCCTTAGATTGCTCTCACCTGGCACTCTGTTTATCTTGCTACTGAAAGGAAAAGGGTTTGCCTAAAAGTTAACAAAGAAAGATGATCAGACAGTGAAGAATATTCAGAGATAATGTTAGAAAATTTAAGGTAATTTATAGGTTGCAAAAGGTCGGTCGGTCTGTGTTAGAGTTTTTAAACAGCACATATAGTTTCCAAACATGTTAATTAGAAAACTGAAGAAGGAGGAAGTAAATCACTGGGAGAGAAATGTAAAGTTCCTTCGGGGCAAAAGGAAAAGTGGGGAGTCTCAGTCAGTTAAGCGACCAGCTCTTGATCTCCACTCAGGTCAGGATCTCACGGTTTGTGAGTTCAACCCCCGCTTCAGGGTCTGTGCTGACAACATGGGATTCTCTCTCCCCCTCTCTTTTTCTGCCCCTCCCCAACTCACATGTGGGTGCTTTCTCTCAAAATACATAAATAAACATTAAAAAAAAACCAGAAGTATTCCTCTTGCCCTCTGCCATGGGTGGGGTGCATTTTCTTACACCTCGACCTTGAGTTTGGCCAGGTTTGCTTTGGCCCATGAAATGTCAGTGGGTGTGGTGTGACCGGAGGGCTGAAGAGCCTCTGTATAACCAGACTTGTTCTCTTGTGGCCTCTGTCGTCCTCGTTAGCAGAACTTGCCACTGCTTGTCCCCTTTCCCAAAGAGGATGGGGTACAGGTGGAGCAGGGCCACCTGGGCAGGTCCAGTCTGGATCCGCTGACTCCCGGAGAACCCCCAGACACATGAGCTGAATAAACGTTCACTGCCATATGCCATCCATGACCTGTGATTGTTACCCGGCATTTTGGTGGCAAAAGGGAACTGATACAGTCCACAGCTTCTGTTTCACCAAGGTCCCTTCTAGGTTGGGTGAAAACTATGTCGAGAGTTCATTTTTTGGGTAAGTTCTATTTCCATCTAGGTACATGTCGAGTCCAAGCTGCCAAACTGGTGGCCCGATAACGTGCTTTATTTGACTTGCAAGTCATGGGCACCCGTGTGTTAAAATGTACACACACACCCAACACACACGTAACTGCCAATAGTTAAGGAAATCTACAGATGCCACAGATTCTACAGAGTTTCCAGAGTCTCTTGAAAAAGCAGTAGATTTGAAGCTCTGGCAGGGTTTGACGTTTTTGGGGGGGGGGGCAATACACGGGAGCTGAGGACCGGGCTGCCCCCCTTGAGACAGGTTACGCTGTCTTTAGCTTATCACTATTCCTAACGTCTTCTGGTGCCAGAGGCACCAAATGCCATTGGTAGGGCAGCTGGACTATTGTCTTATTATAATATTTAAGAGACAAGGAAACATTTTATTTTTTGCCTTTAAAATGAGATCTTAACTAATTTATCAAATATCCTATTATTAAAACTCATCAGGCCATGACACAAGCATGCAAGATATGTTTTTGTTTGTTTGTCTGTCCTTACTATCGCTCTAGTGTAATCCCTTGGGACTAAACTTTTCCGACACGCTCCCATGCGTCATGGATGGCTCAGTCGGTTGAGCGTCCGACTCCGGCTCAGGTCGTGATCTCACGGTTCGTGGGTTCGAGTCCCGCGTCGGCTCTTTGCTGACAGCTCGGAGGCCAGAGCCTGCTTCGCATTCTGGGTCTCCCTCTCTCTCTGCCCCTCCCCTGCTCATGCTCTGTCTCTCTCTCTCTCAAAAATAAACACTAAAATTTTTTTAAAAAATAAAGGTTATGTTGAAGTTGACTAGAACCTTGGTGGGTTTTGCCAGAATTCTTCACGCATCCTGACTGTATTTCTTCTTCTCAGTGCCCCTTAAAAAGAGCATTACATTATCACCTGGAGACGGCACGTTAGTTTTGAAATAACAGAGATGATTTGATTTCTAATTACAGACCTAAGGAACGTTTCTGGCCAGTTTTGGCAAAACATTTTTTTTTTCTATTACATTTCAATGAGAGGCACTACGGTCCACATGAGGTCCCAGAGTGACCAGCACACGCGTCTGTTTGGAAAGTGCTACATTCTCTTCCCATTACCTGGGAAACACGTGGTCAGATGCTCCATCAGCGCTTCCTGGGTGACAGGTTTTCTCGCGGAGTTCATTGCTGAGATGGCCAAGCAAAGGATTTCCCCGAGTGGAATGAACTGAGATTGACTGATGGGAGACATGCTGATTGGTGACACATCACCTGCAGAAAGACAATTTTCAAGGAAGCAGTTCATTAAAAGACCCAGCCTTTTGTCACATGCACGCGCGCACGCACACACACACACGCACACACCATGACCCTTCCCGGTTCCCAGTATCATGAGGACGATCAACTCGGAACGCTGAAGCTTGTTACGGCCACACAGCGGATGCCCCTCAGGTGGAAGGATGCCCCCCGAGCAGTGGAAGCTCCAATGGCCTCGGCAAACAGAACCTGCCTCTAAAACCTGAGATCTCCTTTCAACAGACTTACAGCTGAAGGGCTTACGACACGAGGCTGAAAAATGAGCTCTGTTTTTATTAACTCGGAGCCGGTTTATTTAAGAACTGCCATTCCCATCTCGACAAATGCACTTGGGGAAACGTGAGGATTCATTCATTCAAATGTTGAGTGGCTCTTCACGTGTCAGCCATCTGCTGGGGGCTTGGGATTTCCTTGGGAAAGGGAGTGAGCTCCCCTCCCCAGATCATCTCTGCTCTCAAGGAGTAAGGGGAGGAGACAGGCAACTAGACCGAAGTCCACCGTTCTCCACAGAAGGCTGAATGACAGACTCTGGGACAGAGGGGACAGGGCGGTGGTGCAGC